GGTGCTGAGCCAATTCGTTTTTGTGTTGTTGTTTTTTTTTCTCTGTTTTTCTTTTTTGCACAACTAAATGATGTGCTATGCTACTAATTTAAAAATTTATGGCAGTAATGCTATCTGTGTAAAATATTACTTTTGAGCCCTGTAACTAGGAGGAGGAAGGAGGGAAAAAATGAAATTGTACTAAAAACACATAAAATGGTTATATCTTTATCGCTTGCACACTTACTGTATATTTAGTTGTTTTTTTGCCTTTTGTTTGTGTGTTTGTTTTTTTAGTACTGGGTATTTGATTTGTTGTATCTTTTTTTTCTCTTAAATTCATACAAAGTTAAAGAGAAATGCAAAATGCTTATTTGTGAAAAGATGAATGTATGAACTGCACAGCATAAATAAAAAGTTTTTAAAAAAAAAAGAAACACTGGAATTCAATAATTAACAGGTGTGGCCAAATACCTTTGTTCATATAGTGTAGGAAGGGGCTTAAAGGTGCGAAGCAGAATCTTGAAGTCGATGTGATTTTTAATAGGAAGTCTGCTGGAGAGCAGGAGTGATAGGATCGATGGAGGGGGTTCTAGTAATGATACAGGCGGCTGAATTCTGGACCAACTGGAGTTTATGAAGACACTGGAGAGGGAGACCAAAGAGGACAGAATCTACAGAGGGAGCTGTCAGAGTATGAAAAGCATTTAAGACATAACAAAAGATCTACAATTAATTCCCCTAGTGTGGTTTCTTTGCCCCACCCTATCTTTAAATAACTGGAGCTGACTGATGTCACACATAGACCTAAACTCATGGTGCACGCAGCATCAGTCGCAGGAAACTTATAGTGATATTTAAAAAAGGACTGCGTGGTGTCCTGCAAGTGTTGCTGTGGAAAGCTGGTGTTGGATTCAATGAAAAGCAGATGTGTACTTTAGCTCCCAAATATTTGTCTTAAAAAAAGACTGGCATTTATTGGTGCACATCTGACCCAAAGATGTTACTGTGTCATCTTTAAAAACCAGTTCATCACTGGAGTGCATTCAGATAAATAAAAACATTTCAGTTGTGACTTGCATTCAAACTGGTTCACTATACTTATTAAATTATTTTAAAACAATGATTAGTGGATTATTCAAAGTAGCTTTCGTTTGCAAATTCAGCAGCATCTGAATGTCAGTGGTGTTCAGATCTTGGTTAACTTTAAAGACATTGTGCGGACCAGCCCTCAGCCAGAGGCCTGGCTGCCTTCACTGTGCGATCTTTGGCACAGTACAGGCTGTGTGTCACAGTCAGATCAAAGTATTATGAATGAAGCCCTACATTCTCCAAGTGCCAACATCTCTGCTCTAAATAGAGATTTTTAAATAGACGATAGTTTCTATAAATACCCCCCCGCTTCTGCTCCATTTTGACTTTTGTGGAACTCCTCATCCAGCAAGTCGAACACTATTCCTGAACATGTGCTGTTGTTTATTTTTAGATGCTTTGAGGATGATCTCTCACACGGGATCAGATTCTCAGGCACACAGTGATCAAATGGATTTCTCTCCTCATTCATCAAACAAACAGTTTCTATTAGGTGTTTTTAATGGCAGGAAAACAGTTTAAAAGAACCAAGGTGTCTAGTTTCTGAGTGAGATATCGGCTGTAGAGATGTCTATCTTCTCTTCAGTGTAATGGGACTAGATGGCACTCAGCTTGTGGTGCTGAAAGAGGCAAAAAAATAC